AAGAGTTCATAAAATTATAGTAATATTCAGGGTATAAGAATATTCTTCTGGGGCTGGCAAGCGACATGGTGGGTCAGGGCGCTGGACTCTCACATGGCTGACTGCAGTTCTAGTTCTGGGCCTGGCAGCTCGCTCTCTCACTTTTCCTCTCTCTCACTTTCTCACTCTGTCCCACTCTGGTCAAATTAAAATAGTAATAATAATGAATAAAGGTAAATAAAATAATTCTTTAAAAATATTGCTTTGTGTAATTGCACCAAGTTGTTTGACTATTTCCTATCAAAGCTGTTTTTTTTTGTTTTTTTTGTTTGTTTGTTTTACCGTGAATCAAATTTCCCCGAAAGGGGAATTTTATTGATTACTTTACTCCCTTACAAATAGACCAACTGTAATCAAATGAGGTGAACATTCACCTCGAGATTTTGTCATCTTCTTAGTAGAAAAGATGAGGCTTAGACCTGGATCACTTGGCCCTTTCTTTTATCTCCTCCCAGTTCAAAATGCTTACATCTCTTAATAGCCAGCATTCTCTTAGATCTGCAGTTGGGCTCAACACATTCAAGCCTCAGCACAATCTTCTTTGTAGTTTTTGCCTTTTTCCGGAAAATAGGCTTAGTCTGTCCACCATAGCCACTCTGCTTCCTGTCATAACGCCACTTTCCCTGGGCACACAGAGAATCCTTGCCCTTTTTGTACTGTGTCACTTTATGAGGTTGGTGCTTGCCACACTTCTTACAGAAGGTCTGGTGAGCTTTAGGGACGCTCACCATGCTTGTGGGCCTACTATCTGCCTCAAAGCCAATTTTGTAATGCTCATAGTTTAAATTATTTAATAATTTGACTATTTAAATTCAAAAACGGTTAAAATCCCACTAAAAAAAATTTCTATAATCACATATAAGATCAGTTAAGCATACTGTTTGTTTTGTTTTGGTATGAATCTCAAGTTGTGTATAAAAAAAGCAAATAAGAGTAAAGGAATTGCTAAATGTGATCTATCTGAAAATACAGACTCTAAATCAAATTGTTTTCAAAAAAACTTTGTGCTATGGGACCAGCAGATGGCACAATGGTTACATTGCTGGACTCCCACATAGTTGAACACAGTTCGAGTTTCAGCATGGTGGCTTGAAATTCTCACCAAGCATGTGTACATGTGTGCCCAAAATCCTGAAAGGAGGATGGAGGAGAAGGGATTGCAGCGTGGCCATCCCCTCCCCCCCCAGGATGTTTTCTCGCTTTCTGTCTCTCTGCCTCTCTGGTGAGCACATGTGCCCTATAGCAAAAATCTTTCTCTAGAAAATAAATAAGTAAAAAATATAAAACAGTTAAAATCCCACTAAAATGAATTACTATAATTATATATAAGATCAGTTAACCAAACTGTTTCCTTTTGTTTCTGTATGAATCTCAAGTTGTGTATATAAAAGGCAAATGAGAATGAAGGACTTGCTAAATGTGATCTATCTGGAAATGCAGACTCTAAATCAAATTTTTTAAAAAAAATTTTGTGCTATAGAACCAGCAGATGTAATGGTTACATTGCTGGACTCCCATGTATTTGACCATGGTTCAAGTCCTGGACCAGCAGATTAAAACATGCTGGGTGCATGGCATGCATGCCCAATATCCCAAGAGGAGAATGGAGGAGAAGGGATTGTGGCATGACCATCCCCCCTGGGGGGTGATTTCTCACTTTCTGTCTCTCTCTGTCTCTCCAGTGAGCATATACACCTTATAGCAAAAACAAAAAACAAAAACAACAAAACAAAAAACAAACTCTCAAAAAAAAATTAAAACCCTTTGTTTTAATTCAAATATTTAACTGAAAGTCTGCCATGTGCACATATCTCTTCATGGTGCACTTGTAAAGTTTTTCCTACTCCATTCACCGAAAAGTAGAAAAGCTATCTCCCCTACCATTCAAGTGCTGACCTAAAATATTAGCTGAGGTTATCTATATGGTGTTCCTGCTATCTGATTCCATATTTGTAACTTGTAGCCTTAAATTATCTTGTAGTTATTCAGAATAATTCTCTTTCACATCCTGAATTCCTCAGTCTATTACTGCTCAAGAATAATTGTTGAGTTGAAACAGTAGACAAAAAGCCATATAATCCACTGCTTATCTAAGTAAGATTATACTAATTCTGATATAAAATCAAACAGCTAAAATAATTACTAAAAGATTATATTTTAGCTTAAATAGTTGCCAACAAATACATATCTAGATCAATGAAATGTTTCTATATAGCTCTTATTAAAAACCCATTCCAGGGTCACTTACTGCTTAATGAAATTTAAGTAATTATATAATAATATATACTATCAAAGTTCCAATGTCATTTTTCCACAGAAATAGAGAAAAAAATCCAAAAACTCATAAGCAACCACAAAAGACTCTGGATAGCCAAAGCAATTTTGAACAAAAAGAACAAAGCTGGAGATATCACACTATCTAATTTCAAAATATATTTCAAAACTTGAGCAATCAGAACAGAATGGTATTGGTATAAAAAACAGACACATAGGTCAGTGGGATAGATTACAGAGGTCAGAAACTAATTCATGGATTTATAGTCAATTAGTTTTTGACAAAGGTGCCAAGGATACACTATGGAGAAAGGATAGTCTCTTCAATGAATGGTATTGGAAAAACTGGCTATCCATATGCAGGAGAATGAAATTAGACTCTTATCTCATACCATATACAAAACCAACTCAAAATGGATTGAAGAATTAAAAGTAAAACCTAAAATCATGAAACAAATGGAAAAATACAATAGGGAAAAGCTTCAAAACATTGGTCTGGGTAATGATATATATATATTTTTTTGACATGATGGCCAAACCGCAGGCAGTAAAATGCAAAATGGACAAATGAGATAACATTAAACTGAAAAGCAGGCCAGTCTGAGGCATGGGTTAAGGCAGCTAGATTCCACATGGTCAACACTGTGGTTAGAATCCCAAACCTGGTGACTTGGAATACACACTGGATGTGTGTACATGCAAACTCAAAATCCTGAGAGGAGAAATGGAAGAGAAGGTATTATGACATGATCATCCTCCATGAGGGTTGCTTTCATACTTTCTGCCCGCCCCCCCCCACACACACACAAGTGCAACACCTTCTGGCAAAATCTGAAGAAAAGAAACAAAACCAGAAAAGCTTCTGCACTGCCAAGGAAAAATCAACAGTCAACAGACAACCTATAAAATGGAAGAGAATATTTTCAAACCATATATCTGAAAAGGGGTTAAAATCCAAAACATGTTAAGAACTCAAGCAGCTCAATAGTAAAATGACCTTATTAGACAACATTCTCTGAAAAGATCTGAAATATTTACCAAAAGATAATAATAAACTTGATGCCAGTCTTCAGTTAAAAACAAAGATTTCCAGTGAAAAACAAAGCAAAACAAAATAAAAACCTTATTAAAAATAGACTAAGGATCTGAGTAGATATTTCTCTAAAGAAGACAAAAAAATAGTTAACAGGTATATGAAAAAACGTTAACATCATTAATCATCAAGGAAATGCAAATCAAAACGACAATGACATCATCTCACACTTATTAGATTGGCTATTATCAAATAAATGAAAGCTAAGGGTTGATGAGGATGTGGACAAAAGGGAACCCTTGTACACTGTTAATGGGAATATAAATTTGTAGTGTCAGTGGGTGTTGTGGTGGTTAAGGTGCTGCGTTCCCACATGGTCAACCTTGGTTCAGGTCTCAGACTTGGCAGCTTGCTTTCTCACTCTCTCTTTCTCTGGTGAGTGCCTGTATCAAACTGAAATATAATAATAATAATAAACAAAATTAAATAAAATTTTAACTCTGTTTTTTAATTTTAATTTGACCAGAGAGGGACAGAGCGAGAGAGAGAGAGAGAGAGGGAAAGTGAGAAAGCAAACTGTCAGGGCAGGGACTCAAACCATGGTCAGCCATGTGGGAGTCCAGCACCCTTAACCACCATGCCACCTGTCAGCCCCAATAAATAATTTTTAAAATAAAAGTTGTAAGTTCCTCAAAAAATTGAAAGTAGAACTATCGTATGATCCGGCAATTTCACTAGTGGATAAAAGTGAGGACTTCAAAACTTCATGAAAAACTGGAATTAAAGAATGAATTTACCTTGGTACTCACTGAATTTTTGAATTCCAAGCATAGTTTTTCATAATATGCATTTTCTGTGAATATTTGAACACCCCTAATATACAATACCTAAAGGAAAGTAAGTCAGTATGTTGAAAGCATTTGTGATAACATGGATGAATCCAGAGGACATTAAGTGAAATAAGCCATGCATAAAAAGACATAAAGTGCCATGATCTCACTTATAGATGGTATCTAAAAAAGGTACTCAAAGAAGAAATGAGTACCAGGGTTGTTACCAGGGCTGAGATTAGGGTTGGGGGGTACATGGGGTACTTGATGGTCAAAGGATGAAAAATTTCTGTTAGATGGAATATTAAGTGCAAAGACCTATTGTACAATATGGTGACTATAATTATTATGATATATTGTATTCTTGAAAATTGATAAGAGTAGATTTTAAGTGCTCACACCAAAAAAAAAATGTCCGTAGGTAATGCATATGGTAATTAGCTTGATTTAGTCACTCCACAATGTACACATATTTCAAAACAACATATACATCATACATATACACAATTTTTATCAATTAAAAATAAATATAAATTTGGGGACCAGCAGGTGGCATTGTGGTTAAGGCTCTGGACACTCCCACATGGCCAGCCATGGTTCGAGTCCTGGACTTAGTGGCTTACTTTCTTGTTTTCCCTCTCTTTTTCTGTCTTCTTTCTGGTCAAATTAAAATAAACGAATGAATAAATAAAAATAAATAATTAACTCTTAAAAAATAAATATAATAATAAAATGCCAATCCAATGCGAAAAAATAAAGTAGATGAGAAAAATATGTACTTATCATTTTCTAAAAGATTATTTTAAAACAAAACCAAAGCTTACCAAAATTTTAACCGGCTTCATCACTTTTCTAGCAAGGATACCAGGGCCACTTAAACGAATACTTTCCAAAACACACCATTTAATTAAAGGGAGTTTCTTCAATTCATCCTCAGATACTTTAATCTTATCTTTACCTGTTTAAAAAAGAAAGAAAAAAAAAAAACCTTTTCTAAATGAGAAAGAAAAAAAAAAAAGATGGACTAAAGAGATCAGAAAGTGATTTCATATAAGTTCATAAACACAGGTAAAATACTGCATTTGACAGCATAGAAAAAATGTGTTCTCTTTTCCCTCATCTCATTCTTTCCCGTCTAAATTCTAATCCTACTCAAGGAAAAAACATGAAATTTTTCTTTTTCCATGATCTATTTCTTATCTATAATAGCAAATAATTAGCAAAAAAAAATAAAAAGTCATGGTTAGAATTATGAATTCTTTACTGAAAAGTGAAATTTATGCATATGCCACAGATTATCATTAACTAAATCTAATGAACAATTTTTTTTGGGGGGGGTGGCATTTTGAAGGGAGCAAAGCTTTAAGCATAGTAGGAAATACAAGAAATTTAAGTTTTGGAGGTCTTACTCCTTAAAATGACTTTACATTCTAAAATGGAAGAAAGGATAAGTGCTTTGTCCAGACAATGATAAAATAAGAAATTCCGAGGTTTTATTTGTGGATTAGTTTATGAATGACACATACATTTAGAGCAGTGCCTAGTTTGGGATAAGTGTTCAGTACAAGGTGGTGTCTATTTATTATTCTTAGTTCTAATATTATCAGGGGGATTTAAGAATGATTCCAGATAACACATCTTTCTAACCTGCTTTTGTTCCATAGCTAATAAAGTTATTCTTTTCTGGAAAACTTTATTGGGAGAAAAATCTACAGATTAGGGAGAAAGATTTAACACTAACTTGATACTGGGTCTGAGGAACTCTTTCACTCACTCATTCAATAGGTATTCATTGAGAATCTCTGTGCAGTTTACCAATGCCAACTATAAAAATGGATGGTATGGCCCTGGTTCTTGAGAGTCTGATAAGGACAAAGAACTAAAAGTAGTTAACATGATCAGTGACCATCACATTAAAACGTGCAGCATTCTGTAGGGACACAGTGGTGACAGTGACCAGAACGGCGAAAGGAGGTGTCGAAGAGGTTTTCTGAAGAAGTAAAATCTGAGCAAAAGAAGAGATGGAAGAAAATAAATAGCATGTTCAGATAAAAGGAATTCAGTGTGGCTAGAGCAGACTTGGTGAGTTGGTATTGGGTCCAGCCTCTCCCAAAGTCTCAGTATGTCCTTCTCAGGTGAATGCAGAGATTATGACAGGAGGCTCCTTTTCCTTTTTCCAACCACTGACTATGCCCCAAGAGAACCAGGTTTCAGTTCTGGGCCCTCCTCTTAGCTCTACCTACATTCTCTGATTAGGGCATTCAAACAAACTCTTTTCTATTGATACATAGAACCATCAATAAACTGGTGACAGCCAGAATTATATTCTGTTTTGATCACTTTTCTGAACTTCAGATTACTTTTATTTACTTGAATTGATGGTTCTGCTTACATGTCTTAAAGGCATCTCCAGAGTACACTGACCAACAAAGAATTCTTCATTTTCCTCAATGAAATGAAGACTTTCTTACCTGGTTTTGCCATCACACACAATGGTAACAACATTTGTCCAGTTGCTTTAGTCCAAAACCTAGGAGTCATCTGTGATGTCTTTGTTTGATATTATAATAAGAAATATTTATTTGTTTTTAAGTTTCTGGGACAGAGCTCTTAAAACCTTTGCAATTTCCTAAGTGATAAAAGAAAGAGGAACTTCTTTTGCTATTCATAATAAACCCTTTTTTAAGTTTTTAAATGCTTATTAAGAACTTTTGCTAGAGAGTACATATGCTCATCAGAGAGAGATAGGGAGAGAGGAAAAGAGAGAAAGCAACCCCCATGGGGAAGGAGCATGCCACAATCTTGTCTCTTCCATTCCTATATCCTGTCAAGATTTGGGGCATGCATGCATGTGTCTGACTTGTTTCTCAATCTGCTGGGTCTAGGACTCGAACCCTAGGGTTGGTCATGTGAGATCTGACTGCCTTAACCACATGAAACCTGAACAGATAATAAGTCTATGTGGAGGATGGTTAATAGTTAGTTGTCAGGGAACCAGCAGTTAGCGTAATGGCTATGTCACTGGATTCCCACGTAGTCGACCGCGGTTCGCATCCCAGACCTGGTGGCTTAGAACTCACGCCGGGCGCGTGTGCGTGAGTGCCCAAGATCCCAAGAGGAGAATAGAGGAGAAGGGATTGTGGCGTGACCATCCCTCCTGGGGGGGGATTTCTTGCTTTCTGTCTCTCTGTCTCTCTGTCTCTCTGGAGAGCGCACGCGCCCTATAGCGAAAACCTCTCAAAAAAAAAAATAGTTGTCAGAGGAGCCAACTGTCTGATTAGAGGGTTGGACCTTACAACTCTGCCTCTCCAACATCTCTGAAGAGGAGAAAGGCTGGGGATTAAGCTAATCACTATTGGCTAATGATATAATCAATAATGCCTATGTAATGGAACTTCCATAAAAGTCCTAAAAAAAAAAAAAAAAGAGTTCAGCAAACTTCTGGGTTAGTGACTACATTCATGGGCTTGGAGCACAGAGCACCATACTTGGGATCCTTCCAGACCTCATCCTACATTCATCTTTATCTGGCTGTATATGTATATCACTTAATAATAAACCTGAAGTAGTAACTAAAGTATTTCTCTAATTTCTATGAACTGTTACAGCAAATTATCAAACCAGAGGAGAGGGCTGTGGAAAACCCCCAGTTAACAGCCAAGTAAACAGAACTTTGGGTAACCTGGAGATCTCCTACTTGCATGTAGCATCTGACACGGGGGGCAATATTGTGGGGCTAAGCCCTTAACTGGTGGAGTCTGAACTAACTCCAGGAGCTTAGGATACCAGTTGGTGCCTGAAGAGAACTGGAGAATAACTTGGTATGGAAAAATCATACATTTGGTGTCAGTGTCAGAAGCGTGAGTAGAAAATCAATTTTTGTTTGCCTCTATTTCCCTTTTAATGTCTTAATCTATCACCAAAACTTGTTCTTATCCACAAAACAGATCCTACTTCTAATATCACTCTATCTCTACAAAGCTACAACTCTTGTCCAAGCCACCATCCCTTCTCACCTGGCCCACAGTAATAGCCTTCACTGTGCCTCCTGCTCCCACCTGACTCCTCAACAATCCCCATGTAAATCAGACAATGTCAGAACCCTTGAATGGCTTCATGGCATTCAGAATTAAATCCAACATCTCACTGTGGCAAATTAAATCCTGTCTATCCCTCTAAACTCATTTTTACTGAATTCTGGGGGCTATTGATACCCATAAATTACTCAACTCCTCTGTGCTCAGTTTGCTAGCCTATACAATGGGATTATTGGGGGTCATCAGATGGCGTACTGGTTATGTTGCTGGGGTCCCACATAGTCGACCACAGTTCGAGTCCTGGACCTGACAGCATAAAGCTTACACCAGACACATGTGCATATGTGCCCAAATCCAGAGAGAATGGAGGAGAAGGGATTGCGGCATAGCCATCAGTCCCTTGGGGTTGGTTTCTAGCTTTCTGTATTTATTTGTCTCTCCAGCGAGCACAAGCACCCTATAGCAAAAATATCCATTAATAAAATAAAATACAATATAAAATGGGAATATTGAAAGTATCTGCCCTATAGGTTGTCGTCAGGATTGAAATAGTTGATACAAGAAAAGCTTTCACAACTATGACGACCAAATAGCAAAGACTTGGTATCCATTATAATTATTTCCTCTCCCCCACCCCAATTGTTTGAAGGCCGGCTTCCTCTTACCCTTCAGACCTCAACTAAAACATCTCTCTCTCTATCTCAGGCAATCCTCTTCTAACCACTTCAACTAATGCCTTCCTAATCACTATCATGACACTTTATTGCCTTTACAGTGCCTATTAATATCTGAAATAAAATAATTTGGTGTACTATTTGTTGTTGGGCTTACCGCAACAGAATGTGATTTCTTGTGTTTCAGAATCTGTTCCTTCTGCCCTTTGATGTACACAGTATCTAACTCAGTGTCTAGTTCATGGAAGGCACACCAACATTTTAACTAAATTAATAAATGGATAAATAAGCAAATAAATAAATGTCTAAAAATGGCAGAAAGGGAGATTAATGAAGAAGTTTTTAGTCTGTGTAAGAGCAGTGGGAGGGATGCAGAGAAGTCAAATAAAAAAAAACATTTCTGAGAAATAATGAGAAAGTCTTATTTATTTATTTATTTATTTTTGGAGAGGTTTTTGCTATAGGGCATGTGTGCTCGCCAGAAGAGAGAGAGAAAGAGACATACAGACAGAAAGCGAGAAATCACTCCCCAGAGGGCATGGCCATGCTGCAATCCCTTCTCCTCCATTCTCCTCTCGGGATCTTGGGCATGCATGCACACGCGCCCGGCATGAGTTTAAGCCACCAGGTCCGGGACACTAACTGCTGGTCCCTAAGATGAAAGCCTTTAAATGAAGAATTTGGAAAAATTTGGGATATAGTATATAAACATTACTTATGCATCAGTATCATCAGGAACATTAGTTAAAACACAGACTGTTCCAAAATATGAAGTTTTTCATTAAGTAGGTCTGAGGTAGGGCCCAAGAATATGCATTTCTAGAACATTCCCAGGTGATATTGATGCTGCTGGTCCAGGGACCACACTTTAAGAACTATAGTGCTAGATTAAAAGAAGCAAAAGATATTCTTGGATTTTATTTATTAAATATTCTGAGAGTAAAGGATTTCTTATCACAAATTTTTAAATGATCTCTTCTTTGAAAAATGTACTTAGTAGGTTAAAACTATGATTTAAAACAGAAATCCAGAGTGGATGTAGTGACATTAAGAGACACTAGGTTTTATCAGCATGAACAGAGTTTTGTTTCTTATTACGAATCATTAAACCAGAAAATGTGATGATTAGCTGATCGAACTTCTAATTGGACAGATTTCAGAAGTGTTCTAAAATTATATCATTTTTTCAGCTGCAAAGGTATAGCTTTCATCTGAGCAGGAATACGAATATGGGCCTCTTGAAAGTC